GACCTGACTCCCAGCTAGGGAGATTTTCAGGGTTGCCAGCTGATCTACTCACTTATGGTCAGCCTATCCTTTGTTATTGTTATTATTATTTTAGTAGCTATAATCACACATGCAGCCTGGAACGTGAATATATAAGGGCCTTCCATTTTTATTGAAGTATGGGATCCCAATCCGATGAATCTTTCCGTCTTGACTCCTCCTTTGGCTGCTTAGATTGGATGTACTCATTATTTCCCGTGTAACAGAGTGGCTCCTTTCGCAGAATTGGCGCCGACATGTATCTAATTCTGGGGTTAAAGCTCACCAATAACAAAAGGGTGACCGCCGGTATTTTAATTTACGGTTCCACGAGATAGAGCGCTAGAGTTCGGATGATTGCGCCTCTATCAAGGTGGCATGCGCATTCAAACTCTGGGACGCCATTACCGGAGGCCTTCTACACACTCTAGAGGGTCATTTGGATTTTATTGGAGCTGTTAAGTTTTCCCCAGATGGATGCCTTCTTATATCAGGATACAATGACGGTTGAAACTCTGGGATACTAGCCCTGGGACCCTGCAACGCACCCTGGGCTATTCAGGGGCAGTTGGAGCTGTGGCATTTTCACCGGGCTGTCAGCTGCTGGCGTCAGGTTCCATCGATAACAGTCTCAAGGCCCCGAGGTCTGGAACCATGTCGATGGGGCATTGAAAAACAATTTCTCACTACTAGTTAATTTAGATACGTCGAATTGACTTTGATTTATTTTATACTAGATATCTCAGACGAATTGATATCTACATTTCCTAAAAATTTATATTTTACGTGAGAAGTGAACGGACATTATACAATCTGATTAATTATGGAACTTAAGAAAAAAGGAAAAAGGAAATTAGCCATAACCCGGCAGTCTACTCCTCCCGCTTGATATCATCGTCATGTTCTTCATGGCCCTGAGTGGGTTCCTCCTGGCCTGGTTTGTCCTCAATCAGGAGCTTCTCTTCGAAGTCCTCGCAGGCCTTGCCCTCGTCCCGGATTTTCGCCAGGTACTGGAGCATCAACTCTGCTTGGGACTGAGAGACCTGCCTTAATCTCGAAAGCAGCTCAGGATCCACACTAGGGTTGCTCTGAGCAGTGACAGTACTGTTCGCTATAATTACTCACAAGTTAGCATATATCCTTTGCATGATGCTTAGAGGTATATAGAAAGGGACTAGGAAAGGTTCGCGTACCGGACGTGGCGGAGGAGGCAGCTGGAGCAGAGGAGGAGCGGGGCCAGAGGCCTCCGTAGGGGATTAGGACAGAGGGGTGGAGGAGGGAGACCCAGCAGGGACTCACAATGCTGATGAGCTCCTTGGCACCATGGCTGGTATGGCGCATGGTGGTGGTGATGCCGGAGGCCGCAGCGGGGTCATGGGCTTTCGTCTTGTCTAAGCATGCAATGTCAGTACATTTCTTAATCGCTCCGCATAAAAGCATGCACTCCGAGTAACCGATTCAGCTTGTTTCAACGCAGATTGCAAGGCAAACCACATATTCCAAGGGATCCAGCTCAAGGTAGGCTTGCGTGCATAAAGATTCAAAGTGGAAGAACATACCCTGTCGGTTTCGCTCACCACGGTGGTCGCGGCGGGCCTTCTTCTGGCCGTTGCCCTTGGTCCTTATCAAAGATCCATTAGTAAAGTGACCTCTGAGAATATTCTATAGGATCCTTACTTTGTTGCGGGGTTTGTAGACCGCCGTCATGGCGGCGTTGTTCGCGATGGCGGTGTCACGGCGACAAGCGGCCCAGCGGCCGCACTCCTCGCGGGTGTGCCCGCCAAATTCACAGAGTGCAGCAGTCCCATTTTCAATTGGTTAGTTTATGTCGATATTGTCTCCCTTACGCCCTTCGATGGCGCGGACGATAGCGTCAGAGCGTAGGGGACAGGTAGGTGTTGATAGGTTCACGAGACGCTTTAACGCGATTCAACTGGGATGGGAGCCTTGTAACTCGGTCTCACTTACGGTGACTCTGTTTGCCTTTGTCTGGCATGGTGATTTTCTTTTAGGAAAATAAGAAAGAATAAGAAAGAAAAGAACTCAGCCTTAAAAGGGGCCGGGGTTGTTTTGATCTTGGGTGGTATTTGCGAGAGAGAGAAAGAGAGGAGAGAGGAAGGAGAGAGGGAGCTTTATATAGGGATTATTCAATACTTGGAAGACAGCTCCAGGGCTGGGCATCTACAAAGACATTCATAAGGACATTTAAAAAGACATTTAAAAAGACATTTAAAAAGAACATCTCAAATGATACAAAAAAGTAATTTTAGCCCCTTATGAGTTACGATGGTTGAAAACTTCCAAGTGTTGAATAAATCCCCTTATAGATGCAGATGCCAACCCATAAACCCCATCTATGCCTTGTGGTTGAACCCAATTGTTGTTGAATGGCACGTTATGACTCCTGACATCAGTGCTCGCATGCAAAAAGTAGAAAGGAAATAAGAGCAGATATCTTTCCAGATTATTTTCTCAGTCGTGCTTTTCCAGTCCGTAGCCTCCAATACCTTCAAGGGACTGATAGGTCTTGGCCTGATTACCACGGCCATTCCGGGGACCTCTGAGCTGCATATCCTCCTTGAGCCACTTGAGAACCAGCTCTCCAAGGCGACTATTCTCCGAGGTCCACTCAGGGACTTCTTCATGGAACGACTCCACACTACCCAACGCCTTGACCTTGCCCAAGTGCATGTGAGCCAAATGGGTAGGCCACTGGGCGAGGTTATCCAAGATATGAGTAGCATAAACAATAGTGCAGGCACGGGTCTCAGTCTCCCGCTTTAGGAAAGCCAGGAAATTGCTCCTGGACAAAAGGTCCAAGTCGACAGTGATCTCATCGAGCAGCAGAACCTGCCAGGGCCGCAACAAGCCCATGGCCAGCTGCACGCGACGGCGTTCTCCGTCCGAGACGGCATGCATACGCCAGCGCAGATCGACATCGAGGATATCGATCAGCTCGTCCCGGCGCTCTGGGTAGGCATCTCCGCCGACGGAGGCGAGCAGCGTCGGCACATCGATGTCTGTGCGGACGATGCTGTTCAACACCCACTCGACTCCTAGGTAGGTCACACCGTCTAGGGTGTCCTTGAAGGGGTCCTTGCCACCTATGGCGATTGTGTTATTGGGTGCAAGGCGCTTCCCTGATAGGAGGCGGAGGAGGGTGGTCTTCCCCGCTCCATTTGCTGCGTTTGGGTCAGTCAGTTTTCGAGATTTGTCTGGAATGGAGATTTGTCTGGAATGGGGATACATTGATAGATTTGACTCACCGCCGATCAGTAGTGTGCGACTTCCAGGTGGTAGGTTCAGGCTCACGTTCTCCAGGCCACTAGAGCCATCTTGGAACTTGTACGAGAGATTTTGTACCTCAATGGATGGGGTGGGATTGGGATGCGCCATGACGAATGTGGGAGAAGGAAAACACTGAGAGGACCGGGGATCCGATGAAATTAAAAGAAAGGAGATAAAATGAGTCAGACAATGCTTTTAATTCGAATTTATCTAGACTGATTTGATGCTAGCGCCCATTGTAGCATCGATGAGATGATCCTGGGTCGACCGTGGATGAGGTAACCCCGCGATAACTCCGGGGCCCGTGGACCCGATAACAACTTTTTTTCCCCCACGCGTCGCAATGAGCACCGCGGTATGCTCTCGGCTCTCCGATCTATTTGGCACGGTCAAAGAATCATGAATCCGCTCATAGCCGTCGTCGGCGCCACAGGCACAGGCAAGTCAAAGGTAATGGCTCCATGTACCGCCCGCACTTCCTCCGTACACCATGACTGATAGCTGTAGACAGCTTGCAGTTGACTTGGCTTCTCGATTCAATGGTGAAATTATCAATGGCGACGCCATGCAGATGTACCGCGGTTTGCCGATCATAACCAACCAGATCCCGACAGAGGAACGGAAGGGCATCCCTCACCACCTCCTCAGTTGCATCGACCTAGACGCGGAAGCATGGCGCATAGGGCTGTTCAAGCGCGAAGCGCTGCGAGTCATTGAAGATATCCACGCCCGTGGCAAGGTCCCAATCCTTGTCGGTGGCACCCACTATTATACCCAAGCAGTGCTGTTCAAAGAACAGCTCGTAGGTGAGGGAGTGGACGACGAAGGCGAGCGGGAACAGCTCACGGAGTTCAGCTCGACCTCGAAGAAATGGCCTATTCTGGATTCGGCGCCCGAAGTTCTCCTGGAGAAGCTGCGCGATGTGGATCCAGTCATGGCTGCGCGATGGCATCCGAGAGATGGACGGAAAATCCGGCGGTCATTGGAAATCTATTTCCAGACAGGGCGGCGGGCCTCGGAGATTTATAAAGAGCAGTTCTCCCAAAAAAGGAAGGCGATAGACCAGCAGGAAGGATTGCTACGGTTCGAGAATACCTTGGTCTTTTGGGTACATGCCGAAAAGGAGGTCCTCAATGCGCGCCTGGATGCGCGTGTCGATGACATGGTCGAGCAGGGCTTGATGACCGAGGCAGAGAAAATATCGGACTACTTGCAGGAAAAAGCCTCGCAGGGGATTGAAGTTGATCAAACACGGGGTGTTTGGGTGTCCATTGGATTCAAGGAATTGGCGCCGTACTTCAAGGCTATCCGGGACGGGGAAGCAAGCGAGAAAGATATTGAAGCTCTCAAACGAAACTCACTTGAACTGATCCGGATCGCCACACGGCAGTACGGAACATCGCAAGTCAAATGGATCCGTAATAAACTCTGGAAAGCGCTCACAGAAGCCGGAGAGACCCGTCGTCTTTATCTCCTGGACAGTTCCAATGTCAGCGACTGGAGCAAGTGCATCACTGGGCCGTCGGAGGAGATTGTGCAATTGATGCAGCAAAGCAAGCCGACTCCAGATCCTAAATCGCTTTCTCAGTTAGCGGCGGCGGAGTTCGGAGCGAAGGAAGCCCAGGCACAAAAGCGTGTACAGACAGACCCAATCGGAAGGTGCTATACCTGTGACGTCTGCCAGAAGACTATGGCGACCGAGGAACAGTGGCATATTCATCTGAATAGTCATCAGCATAAAAGGGGACTTAAGTCTGCGAGTAAGAGGGAACAGCGAGATGAATATTTCCGAAAGAAGGAATTGGAAGGGCAGGGGATCCAGGCTTCTGAAACCGAACCTGGGTCATGATCTATTGCATTGCATAGTCAAAGGTAGTTTAAGGATCATAGAAATACCCTGGATTCTTCTGTTGTTTTAACCAGTCAAGGATGATCTCCGGATAAAGGTTGTGCAGTAGTCGCTAGGATGCCTCCCCTGGGGAGATCTCCCTCGGACTGAGCGCAAGATCAATTGGCGGTTGTAGTTTTTTCTGGTAGTCTCTGTGTATGTTTATAACCTGTGAGAGAATTCCAAAAAGCAACGGCCACTGAAAGATTTCATTTATTGCAATGACACAAGCGATAAAGGTACATCATCATCACCACCTAGCATACATTGAACCTTCCAATCATGAACTTGCAGAGGTCGTGGTCGATCGCCAGGCCTTGAAAGCAGGCGAGAGAATATCGCCATGTCCTTGCTCCTCAACTTGATAGACCTCGATGACCGGAGACTTCTCCTTCTTCCGGATTCTCCACGTTCCCTCCTGATTGATAGTCTTCTTAAGCCCTGGAAGGTATGTCAGTCTGCTATAAAACTCACCAAGAAGAGCACTCACATTCCAAGAATGCACCAGTGAAATTGATGCAGACGTTTCCGTCCCAAGAACGCCGGCCGACACTCAACACTTTCCCGGGGATACTGGCTGTGTCCAGCTCCTCCAAGCTATGGCAAATCCCATTTTCATCACGGAATCCCACGATGATCTTAGGCACACCGAGCAGGAATGACTGTGCCCAAAACTTGAGCAATTTCCGCTCATACTTTATCATATCACGTTCATTGCGGATCTGGGCCGATGTCTTCAACTCAACCCAGTTAACGGGGCTTTCTTTTCTCGATGGCTTGCTGTCCCAGACTAGAAGAGAAGTTAGCATTGGGTATAACCACAAGAATCAAGGAGAACTTACTGGCGTCAACCTCTCCACCGAGAATCAGACGCACGTTACCTATCCCGGTGCGTACAACCGAACAATATTGTGCTGCGTTGTTGACGACTTCGTCCCCGCGTCCTTCGATCTCTTCACGGGTCGATTCATCCCACGTTTTCGAAAGAACAGCCAGCTTTTCGAATTTGTAGCCTAGGATTCTCAGTTAGTATAAGCATACATTTGCATGGGTTGTTTTACACACCCCAATACATCATGAGTTCTTGCGGCGCCATTCCAGGTGGCGATCCTCGCTTGCGTTGGATCTCTTTCTGTTGGTTCTTGTACTCGTTGTTTTCTTCAATGAATCTAGAACAAGTCAGTACTTTATAGTAATCTTGCTAGCTAGATATACACACATGGTGCCCTATAATAGAACTTAGATCATGGAAGTTGAACCGCCTTGCTGAGATTGATATCGTACCTGGAAAAAAGTTGCATTCATCTCGAAGCTAGAGATAGCCTGGGGTTAGAGAAACAGCACGCTATGATGGTAATGTACCAGGGCTACAAACCCATTCATATTATCAAAGGGGGTTGTTAGAATCTGTATGTAGGAGTCAGAATTTCGTTCAAAATTAGATGATAGTCCGCGTCAGACTTCGATTCAACGCACCTTCGTCATCATCCCTCTCCATGTGACGATGTCTACATCACACTTTTTCTCTGTTTCTTTTTCATAAGCAACAAGGGTATCAAGTAAAGCATCCAAGTGCTCATCGGCGACATCATTGAGCTTCTGGAATGTCTCATAGCCCTTGTTCAGGTCTGCAGGGAGAGCCGGCGTGTAGTAGTAGGCCATGGACGAATCGCCCAGCGAAAAACGACGCTGTTCATCATAAGAGAAGCAAGCGATTTCCTAGCACTAGTTGAGCTATTCATTTTCATTTGTTTGACATAGCGCCAGGTCTTTGGCTTACCCTTGGTCTCCTGATAGAGGTATTTGCGCCGCCGAAGCGGTGCAGGGGCTGGATATTAAAAGTAGACCGGTTCATGATGGATTCGTCGCACTATTAACCAATGGGCATGGTCGAATGGAGAAGAGCGATTGCTTGGTCCTTGATATAAATTGTCGCGACCTAGTTATGTAGCTCGTATAGTCGTTAGGGATGCCCGTAATGGCGTGGTATCATCGTAATATCGCCGGAAACAGAGGGCAATAGAACGGACTGACCCCAAACAGCAGATATTCCAGATTTTGCCTAGAAACGAAGCTTGTAGTTCCAGCTATAAAGCAACCATAAGGTATTTCTGAGGAGATGACGGAGATGCCATGTTCTCCAGAGCTCTGGGCGAATTGCCGCGTCCCCACCAAATCTCAACCAACTCCCCGCGAACATTCTTGCACTGCGCACTCTGCTTAATAGCGTCCTGATTCTACTTTTCTTTGATTTTTATGATCAGCGCTTCCTTTTAGTCGAAAATGTCATCTCGGATTGATAAGGTCATCGCCCGCCAGCGAGAAAAGTGAGAATTCCACCTGGCCCGTAACCACCTTGGACCTCAAAGTATCCAATTCTGACTGTCTGTTGTTGTCTATAGGATTGCTGATGGCGCGTACTACGAGGCTCACCAACAACTACGTGTTATTGCTGCCCGGTATATCAAGCAGTCCAACTACGATGCTGCGGCGGAGATCCTGGCTGGTGGCGCGAAGGAGCTATTGAAAGCTGGTTCTCAGCAGGGTGCATCGGCCAGTGGTGGAGACTTAGCCATTATGCTGGTGCTCGAGGTATACAACAAAGCCGAATGGGAAACCTCAGGCGATAATGATGATGCAGAGGGTCGGGCTCGGAAGAGTGAGTCTATCAAACATCTTTTTACTACTGGGGGTTGATTACTGTACCGTGGTGCTTCAGGTTGCCCCAGTAGCTACCACAGATAGATGGCTAACTTATATATTTTTGTTCGTTAGAGCGCCTGATCGAGCTGCTGCGCGAATTCCCGTCAGATGAACCTACACGAAAGAGGTTCATCCAAGAAATGATTGGATGGAGCGCCAAGTTTGGACCACTGGAACGAGGAGATCCGGATTTACATCATGCTGTTGGCTCGGTATACGCCGAAGGTGAGTGATGCCAGAGAGCAACGTTTGATGCATTCTAATCTAGTGCCTCAGATAACGAGCCATACGATGCCGAGAAACATCTCATCCTAGGAACCTCCGAATCAGCCGAGACCCTTGCGAAGCTTGAGTATGAGTGGTACACCAACGATGAGCCGCACACCGCGGCGATCTATGCGTCACGCGCGGTCTTCCCATACCTCCTCACCGGAAATCTCCGCAGTGCGAATAAAGCCCTGCTTATTTTCACTTCACGGCTTTCAGCAGCCAATCCTCAGCTCGGTGTGCAGGATGTTAGCAGTGCCAGCTCCGACGCCCGGGTGTTCCCTGCCCTTCCTTTGATGAACTTCATCACCATGCTGCTGTTGGCCATCCAGCGCGGAAGTGCCGATCTCTTCAGACAGCTCACTGCACACTATGCAGCCCAAATTCGAGAAGCTGGTATCTGGGACGATGCTCTGGCTCAGATTGGCGAGCAATACTTCGCCATCAAGGTCCCCCGGCAAGGAAACCCCTTGATGGATATGATGAACGGTATGTTGTTTGGAGGAGGTCAGAACAAGACAGGTGGCAGAGGAGCATCGCAATCCAGAGCGAAGAAGGTTGAGGCACCGCCGTCGAGCATGGAGCTCGATTAGGAGAGGCCATATGGGTCTTTCGAACCAGGTCTTTGCAGGAAACCTATCCAACTGATAGTGTAATGAGATCAAGATGCATGCAGCAAGCGCGGCCCTGTCTAGTTAGAAACCGAGCCCTTCCCGGGCTCAAACATCCAATTGTCGTCATCCAATGATGCTGCCTTTTTGCGTAGGCTCTCGTGCACCATATTTAGAATCTCTGTTTCGGATCAGTATATGACCATAGGAATGACCGGCAGACTCAAAGCAGCAAGGATGTACTCACCATCAGGTTCACCGTGCGATTGTCTGGTCCGGTGCCGAACCATCATCTCCACAAGAGCCGCCTCGAACTCTGTATCACGTATTAGCAGACTATACTTCAACAGTACAATGTCAAAAACATGCTCTCTTTGTCCCGCCCAGCCAGGTCCGAAGAATCGAACCCTCCATCCTCCGGGGCAAGTTCGGCCAGCTCCTCTCCATCCTCTCCAACCAGAGCCTGCGGCAATGTCGGAATCTCAAGCTTGTAGCTGCCATTCTTGTCCCGAACCACAATATCTTTATTCTCCACAGGTTTGAATGGTCGAGTATGTGGCCCCGAGTCGGAGGATGTAGGCTTCAGCCGGTGCGACGGGCGATTGGAAAGGCCGTTGTGGTTTTGAGGGACTGCACCATTGGGTGGTCCTGCGGAAGCAGGTCGGCGGCTGAGATTCCCATGGAAGAGGTTGCGGCGGACAGAGCTCTGGCTCATAATTCCAGATGTTTGCATGACTGTACACACCACAGTTTGTGTTTTCTCTGTTGTGTTTGGCCGGAGGTTCTGAGTATGTGTTGAGCCGTGGGCGCCTTACAGAGGAAGCGTGGATATTTCGAGGATCGGGTTGATTCCAGCTGTGGGCGTCAGGGTGTGGGAAATGGAGGGAATCGTGTCATTTCCTAGCTTCTAGGTACTAAAGATAATTGTGGTTGGGGGCGAAGAGAGGAAGAACGGCGCGGAATGAAGGAGATGAGAAAAAAAAGATCACGACAATGCCAGCAGAAGTAAACTACGTGTGCAGCAGTCAGGACACTAGGAACAATTCACTACTCTGTACTCTGTACTGAGCTTCATATAGAGGATATACAATATGAAATAATAAAAATAATAGCTTCAATGCCTCAATACCCAAATGCCATCACACCTTGTGAAGTGCACAGGCCAGCTGATAAGCCGTTATCGCCTTTCCCACGCGTGCTTCTTTCGCGTCTCCCGTTCACAGCACTTCTTCATTTTGGAATCACCGATTTGCTCACAATGGTCCAAGCCGAATCCTCTTCAACTGCTTCTCGTCATGGCGCCAAGGCAAATACTTCTGGCGCCCTGGTGGACTATGAACTCCCCTGGTAGGTTTTCATTTCACGAAAATATCAGGCAGAGCTAACCTTTGGGTTGTCAATAGGGTTGAGAAATATCGCCCAACTTTCCTTGATGATATTGTCGGCAACACTGAAACAGTGGAACGGTTAAAGATCATTGCCAAAGATGGTAATATGCCACACGTTATCATCTCCGGCATGCCGGGCATTGGAAAGACCACCTCAGTACTATGTCTGGCACGGCAATTGCTGGGAGATGCATACAAGGAGGCAGTTCTGGAGCTGAATGCAAGTGACGAGAGAGGTCAGTTTTGACATAATTGCTTCGATGACCTAGTCAATACTGATACTGTTGTCTAGGTATCGATGTGGTGCGGAACCGGATCAAAGGTTTTGCCCAAAAGAAAGTTACCCTGCCCCAGGGACGCCATAAATTGGTCATCCTTGATGAAGCCGATAGGTTTGTTCTCGTGAGAGTTTCTTTTTGGTCATTGGACTCACATATCCCCGCAGCATGACCGCCGGTGCCCAACAAGCCCTGCGACGTACTATGGAAATCTATTCCTCCACCACACGATTTGCCTTTGCCTGTAACCAGTCGAACAAGATCATCGAACCCCTTCAATCCCGTTGCGCCATTCTCCGGTATGCCCGGTTGACAGATGCTCAGGTTGTGAAACGGTTGATGCAGATTTGCGAGGCGGAGAAGGTCCAGCACTCCGAGGATGGCATTGCTGCACTTGTTTTCAGTGCAGAGGGTGACATGCGTCAGGCTATCAACAACCTGCAGAGTACTTGGTCCGGTTTCGGGTTCGTCAGCGGAGACAATGTCTTCCGAGTAGTCGACAGCCCGCACCCGGTCAAAGTCCAGGCCATGATCAAAGCTTGTTGGGAAGGCAAGGTGGATGTGGCACTGGAGGGGTTGAACGAGCTATGGTATGTTGCGAATGTGTTTGCTTTGACGTGCTGGACGTTCTGACCATTTTCTATCTACAGGACCCTAGGTTACTCTGCTCACGATATCATCAGTACCATGTTCCGAGTCACCAAGACTATCCCCACATTATCCGAACATTCCAAGTTGGAGTTTATTCGGGAGATTGGATTCACGCATATGCGTATCCTAGATGGTGTGCAGTCAGTGCTTCAACTGAGCGGCTGTGTGGCGAAGCTTTGCAAAATTAACATGAAACCCGATCTGTTCGAGCCTCCCAAGGCTTGAGACTGAAGAGCGCTTGTCTTGTTGCATATTCCCACGGCGTTTGTGATTTTAAATGACTCTGGAGGCAGATATCCCACCAAGCTGCATAATGAGTTATGTCTACCATATTTATCCCAAAAATCAGTTCAACCAACAGTGATATATGTCCTCCAGTCTGCGAGTTGACCCAACTTCATATTCCACCCATACATCCCAAATAGCTCAATTGGATTTGTCGACGTGACTTTTCCAGAGCTTCTCAATAATTGTAGCAGCCCCCAGTACCTTCTCTTCGTGCAGTTTCTTCCCAATGATCTGCAGATTCACCGGATATCCATCCGCTTGTGTCGCATTGAAAAGTTTCCAATTCCACTCATCGAGACTGTTTCTTGGAATATAAGGCTCCGATGGCAACACATCCAGCTCAGCCCTCACTCTATCCACTGGGAACGTCAAAGCCGGGTAGTCCAGCAGATTCCAAATCTTAGTATAGCCAACCCAACGGAATTTCCGATGAGGCACGGTCGTGTGAGGCAAAGTAGGACTCAACAGAACATCGACAGCCCGACCAGACGAAGACCGCACCGCGTTCCATTTATCGAGGTATTTCTTTTGCGCCGCAGTTTTCCGCTTGTTCAACTGCCAATACTCATAAACCGAGACAGCCTTGGCACGGTTGACCAGCACTTCAACGTGAGGAATAAACGGCTCGCCGGCAGCGGCTACATCCCGGCGAATATCCTCACCCCCGTCGACCGTGTAGAAGAGATCCATAATCTCAATGCACCCCGCATGGTCAGACGTATCCCAGACCACAACCTCGTGGCCATGTTCTTTAAGCACCGCTGAGAGTTCTAGCAGGGCGCGCGCAATAGGCGGGTGGACCTTTACCACGCCGTCATCCAGGATCAAGCCGATGACCATAGGTCGGTCTTGGGGTTCTTGGAATGCAGTGTCGTTCCAGGGAAGAGGAGTGCATCGCGGATCGACATCCCAGGGCTGACTGTTCGCTATAAGACGGCTCATGTAGCAGACAGACGAGAGATCTCGGGCCATTGGGCCGATGGAAGACGGGACATGTTCTTGACCTTCAGTAGAGACGGGTACGCCCTGGTATGGAAGTCGAGCGCTCTGTTTTGGGAATCATAAGCACATATCAAAGAGGGGAAAAATGCTGTTTGTTCACGGCGGCTGGTACTTACGCTTGGTTTGAATCCATACAAGCCCACTGTAGCCTGTGGGATTCTTACGCTTCCGCCGATATCAGTTCCGAATCCGAATAGTGATCCATGCAATGTCAACAAAGCGCCTTCGCCGCCAGTTGAGCCACCGGGTGAGAAAATTGGATTGCGAGGATTAGTGGTGAGTCCCCACAGAGGATTCTCGGTTTCGGCCCACTGGAGGTAGAGTTAATGACCGGATCGGATACTGCTAGTGATAATCTCGGACGAACCATGATACTCTGTGGAATGTTTGTCTTCGCGATGATGATGGCACCCATGTTCTTCAAGGTCTGCACGAGCACCGCGTCTTCCTGGGCGGGGGCGAAGGACCTGCCCACATATCCCAGGGTCGTGTCAACGCCTTTGACGTTAAATTGGTCTTTCAGTGTGATTGGAATTCCGTGCAGGGGACCTCTGAGCTTTCTAGTTTCTGCAAATTCGGCGTCTAGCTGCTTTGCCTGTTCTAGGGCGTCTTCGAAAAGAACTTCGGTTAGACTGTTCGTCTATCCATGCCAGATCTATATCAGTGACTTGGTCAGGGATGGAAAGGAAATGAAGATGCGAGGCATATACCAATTGATGTGCTACCACAGCCCTATCGATGATATCAGTACATGGCCTGTTCCAAGCCCCGATAAAAGACATACCGTTGGATATATGCCTTGATCACCTGTTCCGCTTGGAACTCCCCTTTCCCCAGGCATTCGAGCAGAGCGGTAATACTGTCAATATCTGTGATCTTTCGAATCAGGGGATTTTCTAGTCGAGTACGCTCCTCGGCGTTCTGTACTCGCGGCAGACGTTGAGCTACATCGACTAAGTACGGTGCGATGAGATGGTCTCTGATGGCCCGTTTCTGGGAGACAATTTCTTCCCAAGTCTGTAAGCTGCGCATTTTGCTATGAATTGCACTTGTATGAACTCTGTTGGAGGTCAAGGCTAGCCTAATATAGTCTGCTCGGAGAGCAGTCCGAGGGCCACTCTTATCAAGTGGGGACGTGGCACACTCTCGTCAAATACCATTTTTGGAGTAATTTCTTTTTTATCTAACCGAGATTTGCCGTTCCCCCCAAATATAATTTGGGGTAATCTTCGATATGATCTTTTGAATCTGTAAAATATTTTGAGTGAAGAGAACATGAAGAAGCACGAGCGGAGAGCGGGGGAAGGGAGCCATGTGGGTCAAAACCTTCTTCGACCTCACTAGGTTTTATGTCCAAGACATTCTCTCTACCTAAGAGAAAGAGCTATAGCTCTACGCCTACTCGGCTTCATCATGGAAACTAGACAATCTCCGACTGGTACTACTGCCACCGGCGCCATCCGATCACATAAATCGGCTATTGCCAAGAGAGCATGTGACCAATGCAAATTCCGCAAGATCAAGGTAAGACATGACATCCCCCACCCCCTTTCATGTATTAAAATGAGAATGACTGTACTGACTCGCCTTTAGTGTAGCTTGTCACAACCGTGCAAGGCTTGCGAGTCCATGGGCTTCGAGTGTACATTCCTTCAACCACAGAAGAAGCGCGGACCAACCGGGCAGTGAGTGATCACCCGTGACTGTGAATAATACCACTAACTGGGATGAAGTCGCGTGTCGCAAATTCGACAACAGCAAACTGTCATAACTCCTCAAGAGAAACCCAAGAATAGCTTCCAATTTCAAGCTCCAACTTCAGCGGTGGAGCCCGGTCAAGCCGGTTCTTTGCCCGGGGCACCTTGGACCCCCACTCATGGTGCAGCCGCGGTGCCCCTGGAGGGGGCCGGAGCGCTAGCGCCTGCAGGTATACCACCTCCAATGGCAGCCTGGGGAGAGGAAACCGCGTCTATAGATTCTCATAGCAACAGCGCTATGAGCTGGAATGATCGAAATGACGCGGAATACTGGCTTCCAGATAATCTGGAATCTCAAGTCCCTGTCTTCGAATTCCCAGGGAGTAATGTCTATCTCAGACCATCTCTCCCGTCTATCATCCAACCAGTCCCCGATGCTGCGGCCATGAGTATGCCTCCGCAGGATGCTCCAAATATGCCGTTCTCACCATCCGTGGGGTCTATACATTCGGATACCCAGGAGACTCATGCATTTTGGCCATCTACAATCAACGAAGTAAATATGATCCCTTGGATTGATGTTTACTTTGATCGGCTACATCCGACCATACCCGTTCTGAACCGATCATCCCTCTACACTTCAATGATCACACAAGAACATCGCAAAAACTCTCAGTTCGGGGCCATGCTCTTGTCGTTATGCGCATTCTCGCTCACACAGCCAATTGAGATCAATGAGCGGCCGACGACCTCATCCCGAGCTCTGCAGGCACGAGCCATGATGAACGAAGCGACCAAAATGCGAAGCTGTTCGGATTTTGGCGAGAATCCCACCATCGAAGCTGTCCTAACAAGCTTTTTCCTCTTTGGCTGTTTGTTCGGAAGTAATCAGCACAACGCAGCGTGGCTCCGGATACGGGAGGCCCTAGATCTTGCGGCCACGCTGGGATTAAATGATCCCGAGTCATATCAGGATCTGTCTGGGGAAGAGAAAGGGCAGCGGCTACGGACGTATCTCGTCCTCTCTATTACGGAAAGGTAAGTAACCGATTAGCCCTCTCAAAATCAACCTGCTGACCATAAACTTCAGAGCCTACGCTTTGCAACGGCGACACCCAATAACCTTCTGGGGGAAGCCAGGGTTCACTATGCGGTCAGTGCATGATTTCATTCATAGCGCCACGCACAGCGTCGTCTCTGGTATTGTGGTCCACAACGAGAAAGACGCTGAGGGAATGATGGGTCTCGCACGAATGATGGAACTATTCGATGCCATCGACGAAGATGTCATCGACTGCTGGAACCGCCGATGCGATATCAGCAACGGGTACTGCCAGCGGCTCACCGAAGTCAAGGCACTCTCCATTCACCAAAATCTCAATCGAGTCAACCAAGCCGAGCGATATCGCGGCTATGACTGGTTCGAGCGAGCCAAAGGAGGCCGTGGTGAAACCAGCAATGCCACATTTGCTATGGGCCTACGAGAGACCCAAGCAGCGGACGTTTTTATCACCCAGAAATGGCTCCAGAACCGTGTCTGGCTCCTCTCCTCAACCCACGGGCTTCTGAGTGCCCATGCGGAACAACCCGAGCTAAGCTTCGGATATGCCGTATCCGTTGCCGAATCCACTCTCCAGCTGTGCCAGTCATTACGGTTGAGCTCCATGGAAGCCCATGGCATCGGTCTGGTATGTAACTTGCTCTCATCTATAACTAGTAGATGTAGGTTCGGCTTGTGAAGTTGACCCCATACTAACAGCTGGGTATCTAGACCGAAAAACTGTACGATATCGCAATCTGTGCAACAAACATCCTATGCAACACAAGCCCCTCTTACGGGGTTGGCCTAGGCATGCCCGTCAATTTCACTGAAAGAATACCACCATCTACGACTTCCACGCCCCAGAGTCTCGCAGAAGACTTTTTGTTACTTATGACCAGCTTCCGCGGTGGAAACCATCCCTACCTGGAGAAGTATAGAGCTCACCTACGCTCGCTACAGATTATGGGACCCAAAGGTCCAGAGTGGGCGCAGTGACGACAGTGGTTTCTTTTCTTTTTTCTCTTATTTGGCCCAATTCGTGATCTTCCCAATTTCTTGTACGAAATGTGTCTTCGATTTGTACGACCTACTTTATAGACCTCATTGGCTCATGTTACAGTGTACCAAATACGAGTTTAACTATATCCAAGTTTATATATGATCACGATGTTAACGTAGTCGGTAAGCGACCTCGGATTCGGCCACCCAATCCAACTTACTAATTTTAAATGCATTTATCGGCATTTTGCAACCAGAAATGCCGATGATGGCAAACTGCACTTGGTAACATCGAAGACATTTACACGCAATGGAGCGCACTAGCTTTCATTTTGGTAAAACGCTTTTTGACCAGTCCTTAATATCTGTCGTCAGTGGCCTACATAGCCAAGCAAACAAAGATTGCTGCCAGGTTGCGCATGTGGCCCTCATTCTCAATAACAAATGGACCGCGCTCGTATAGCTTCAGAAAAGAAAGCTCCTTGTCGTAAACCTCTTCCGCACCCTTGTAGTTCACGCATGGATCCAGAGGGGGACACATATGCTTGCTTGTTCCCTTTAGCCATTCCTCATAGCCCGGGTCAGCATTGCCGGTTTATTTAACGTTGGTCTTGCGCAATTAGCAGACGCCTAAGCATCGTCAGAACAAAGTCTCTAGGTATTATAATAGGCTTAACTCACCGCCGGCGGGTTGTGGACCTGCCGTTCTTGATTTTGCGTATCAACCAGGCGATTATCTCTGCAGTCTCCTGCCACATAAGCTCAGGACAATGAGCTGGGTCTCGATTTCGAGGTTTTACCTCGATGACAGCAAAGATGTCCTCCATGTTAATTCCTTCCAGGTATCCATCGACACTGCGGTCACTCGTTCTCGCCGAAGTCCACTGTACTAAACGGAGACCGAGCGGAAGACCATCTGCAGTTCACGTCAGGGATCGAAAGTGTGACGGCTTTCAGGTATTGCAATAAGACATCGTTGACGATTTGTTCGTCCTTCGTGAATGCCGTATATGGCACGCCACTATCTGCAGCAGATGTGAGATCAGTAGCACACGGAGAAGAGTGTTGTGGCGTGGTTAGCTCGGACAAAACTTTCTTGTTGGTCAAGCCTCGTGTTTTGTGCCTTTAGTCGCCCAGTTAACACCGTAACCTGATCCCTTAACGCCCGTATCTCCTTGGCAATTTGGAGCCCGCTATCGTTGTCGAAGACGTGATACCTGTAAGGCTAAGTGAAGAATGACTTCGCGTACTTATAGAAGGGGAAGGCAAAGTATATGTAGTATTGCCGTAATCACAGGGAGATCTTCGTAGAGTGATCGAGTCCGATTCCTTAACCTGATCAGCCTTAATCTGGTCACATGAGTCCAAAACAAGGGCAAAGGTCCCTAGTTTGTGAACGCTTAGGTCGTGGATTCTGTCACGGAATTGCCTGAGGAATGTCTGAAACGCATTAAACTTGTCAAGGTATCTTTCAGCTTTCTGTTTCAACTCTACCTCGTTTTTTTTTTGTTAGGAAAGGAGAACAATGAGGCCTTAGAGATTTCGCTGGCCAGACTGCCCTAAAGATGAGAAATTGCTTCTCTGTTAGTTTCGACGCTGGGTGGAGAATGGCAGCGTCGCTGGGGGGGGGGGGGGGGGGGGGGCCC